GACGGGGCCGGGAACGCGGCCGGGCCGGGAGGCGCTCCCGGGGCCACCGCCGAGGCCCGAGCACTCGGTCGCCCCGCGTTCTCAGGTGTTTCGTCCGGAGGGCGGCGCGGGGCAGAGGATCGCAGGGGGCGAGCGGCCAGCCAGGGAGGGAAATGGGGTGAGCAGAGGGCCGTCCGCGCACCTTCCTGCGCGGGGAGAGACGCGAAGCGCGAGGAGGGAAGTGGAGCTCGGGAACGGGGCGCTGGGTCGGAATGCCCGGCCCCTCTGCGGGCCGGGAGCGGGGAGTTGGGGTGGGGGTGGCCCAGGCACCCTGCCCCCTCCCCAGCCGCCACATTCCAGGCCCGGGCAGAAGGATGAGGTCATCCCGTCCGGTTCCCCTCCAGCCCCTTCCCCGACAGCCGGGAGACCCTCCACTCCCCGCTCCGCGTCCCGGGGGATGTTTTATGGCCAAGTCTTTCCCGGACTTCCCCGGCCCGGCGTTCCAGATTGTTGGCCTTACTCGGACCATGCAAGAACGCGAGGTCTGAAACCCATTCCTAGATCGGGAAACTGAGGCTCAGGGAGGCACAGAGACTGACAGGGAGACCACAGCGACATGAAACGTGGCTCTGGGATCGGACCCCCGCCCCAGTGGAGAGCTGACTGGGCTCAGATTTGGGGTGGTGGAGCAAAAGGCGTCTCCTCTCCCTGTTGTCCCTGATGGCCTATCCGGGGAACCCCTCAGAATCCGAGAGCCTGGCTAAGTAACCTGACGGCGAAAGGCTTGCTGGCCCTTTCCGGCCTGTTTCCCTGTCTTCCACCTCGAAGCGGCTGGACTTTGAGGGGCAGGAGAAGCCAGGCCTCCTGCCGCAGTTAGCCCTAAGGCCAGAGCAGGTTTGGGGAAGCCCCAAACCCGGTCGTAACAGGGTGCCCGGAGGGCTGTCCTCGGGAGGGCCCAGTGCACTGGAGCTGCGGCCTGCAGGATGAGACGTGGCACGGGGGAGGTCGCGTGCAGCCCTCGGGTGACCCCCAGCGTACAGCCCCTCCCCCCTGCCCACCGATGCCCTCCACCGCGGAGCAGCCCCCGGCCTCAGACCTCAAGTGTTTACATAGCGGCCCCTGTTGGCCCCTCCCGGTGTGCAGTCCCCGCCCCCAGCCCTAAACCTTGTCCTTGCGGTCAGGTCCTTACTGTTACTGCCACTGAGTGAGCCTGACCACGTGCCCAGCCCCTGACATCCTCCACAGGGTGATAGACGACTGAGGGGACACTGAGGCTGCATGGCGACCACCATGCCCGGGTCACAACGCTCTGTGAATCCCCGAGCTGAGTGTCGTGCTCCCGGAGCCTGCCCTCCTGTGCTGCGCAGCCAGCCTCAGACTTCTCCAGCAGTCTCGCTGGCGGGCTTCACCCCGACCCTGGACATTTATTGCAGATGTTGGTAGAAACCCAGGCAGGCTCCTAGGCACCACTTTATTGCTGTGATCGGTGAAATTAGATCAGTCTGCTTCTGAGACTCATTTTTCTCATCTGTAAAATGGGGGTTATGAGGATTAACAGTGACGTTCTGCTCTGGGGAGGGGAAGAAGTGGAGCGCAGCTGATGGCCCGCAATCAAATGCTGAGTGGCTGTCACCAAGGGTTCCCGGAATGAGAGATAGTCGTATAAGGGCATTGGGTTTGAACCATGGCTGCCCTGTTCTGGGATCAGAGTGTTGCGTTACCCACATCGTGCACCCTTACTCGGTCCGCTGGGAGGGACCTGCCCACCATGTTCCCATTCGCCAGCTGGGAGACCTGCGGCAGGGTCTCTTCTCAGCAGGCAGAGGGAGGGCTGGGGATATAGCTCAGGGGCACAAGACCCTGTCTGGCAAGCCCAAGGTCCAAAATTCGATTCCCAGTACCAAAAAATAAAATAAAAGTATGCATCAGTGGGCAGAGGGGAGGGTGCTGCTGGGAGGTGGGCAGAGGCATTGGGAGGTGCAGGGGAAGCGGGGCTCCCAAGTCAGTGGCTGTGGGTTGGGGGAGCAGGAGTTGATTTAGCTGGGAGGAGGGGCAGTCGGAGAGGTCAGGGAGTTGGGAATGAGGTGGGTGGGGCCACGTGGCAGACCGGGGCTGACCCAGACACTTGACATTTTGCATTAACGCCTCTGTACCCCAGCCCCTTCCCCCAGAGTCACTCTCAGTCCCTGGAGAGCAGGGAAACCTCTTCCCTGCCACGTACCTGCCACGTACCTGCCACATCACCTTGGACAAGTCTCCTGTCTCTGAATACCAGGCCTCTGTGAAATGGGCCAGCTCCCCCAGGCTGGAGGGGTTGTTGAAGAATCGGGTGACATCATGCAGTGGTTGGCCAACTGCGGATGGCTTCATAACTTAAGCAAACATTCCGAGAGGACTTCTCTGTGCCCCGCCGGGGGGTGCCAGGGAGAGGGATGATTCAGAAGTCACCCCCCAGGGGGAGGAGCCATGGTTGGGGGAGGGTCAGATGGTGGGAAGGGAAGAGAATGCAGTCAGAAAACAAAGCAAGCTTTGTCCTAGGAGTCTTTGTTTTTATCTTGTTATTTAACCTTTTTTGAATTTCAGATAACATTAGGACAGGATTGGGATTTTTTATACTTGGGAGGTGGTAGGTGTTCCTGCTAAAGATCCTTATCAGCTTTTTATCAGCTGAGGTCTCAGGTCTGTGGAAGTAGGTTGACTTGCCCAAGGTCACACTGTGAGGACACTGAGTTCCTGGCTACCCTCCCCTTCAGGAGGTGGCAGAGGGCGGCCCTTTGGCGTGAAGGTTATCACAGAGATCAGAGATAGATGTTTGAGCCTGGCTGGGTGCAGGAGGAAGGCAGGAAAATCCAGGCCCTGCCCCGCCTTGAAGTGTGCTGCCAATGAGAGACAAGACAGGACTCCACAAGCCAGCCCAGGGCTCCTGTGAGTCACGGGGCCTGGGTTCAGGTTTCAACTAGCTCTCCAGATGCGACCTCAATCAAGCTGGGCCCTCTCTGGGCTCTGGAAAAGCAGAGGCCAGCCTTTGGATCCCAGATGTCTTCTAGCTTGGACTTTTATTAATTTTTATTCTTTGGTACTAGGAATTAAACCTGGGCCCTTCACCCTGACCTACATGCCCAGCCCTTGTTGTATTTTTAATTTTGAGACAGAGTCTCACTAAGTCACAAAGTTGCCTAGGCCGGGTTCCAACTTGGAATCCTCCTGCCTCAGCCTCCCAGGGTACTGGGATTGCACGTGTCATGTGGGCCACTACATGCTTAGCCTGGACTTTATACAGTGTGACACCCTCGAGAAAGAGGTCACACACACACCAAGAGATGCTTAAACAAGGTTGGGGCCGGGGAAGATGTGACACTGTGGGAGACCACGGACAAGGAATGCCTGAGCACCTGCTGTGTTTTTTCCAAAACTTGTTCCCTGAGAGCAAGTTTCCTACATCAGCGTGACTGACGGATAAACCCTTTCCTAGGGGCCTTCTCAGAGCCTTGAATCTGTCAGGTATGCAGGAGGCGGCTGGGAAAAGCCACTTTGGACCACAGAATCCCTTTTCCAGGAAGCACCTTGAGGTGCAGGCATCCAGGGCGCCTCTGTGCTGGCTGTTTACACAGAGCCTGTGGAGGCGCCTCCTCTGTCCTGGCTCCCCCAGATGGAAGGCATCTGAGCCCGCAGAGGAAGGAGGTGCCCCCTTCCACGTGCCAACCAGAGACAGTGTTGCCCGGGGCCCAAGGGTCCGGGGTTTGGGCCTTGCTTCACCACTTCCTCCTGTGTAATCTCCGGCAAGCTGTCGATTCCTGGTGCCGCAGTTTCCCCTTCCTAGGGTTGTGCCTCCCTCAGGGCCACAGTGTGGGTTAAATGACTGATGTAGGTGAGGCCTGGGAACTTCCAAGTGCTTCAGCCAAGGCCCAGCACGGTCCTGCTGCTCTTTAACGGTGCTTTCCTTGACACGCAGCTGCAGGGAGGTTTGGCGCTGCACAGGCAGTACAAGCTTAGAGAGGAGCGCAGCTCTGAGCTCTGGCCTGTGCCTGCCTGCGCTTGAACTTTCTCTCCGTGGACTCGCTCAGCCTGTCCTCCTTTGTGCCCAGCTTCCGCTCAGCATTTGGTCGGCGACCTTCGTCGGTGTCGTCGGGTGTAACTGTGTGTTCTCTTTGGCTGTCATTGTTTGGACCCCAGATTGCCTTCTCTGCACTAGTCGGCGGTCCCATCACATCGCTGTCCTCTCTGTCCTCCCTCCAGGTCTCCACCCCTGGCCAGGAGAGGGCGGCCCACCTCTGCGGCCCATCTTGTGCCTGCTGTCTGTGGCTGCTTCTGAGGGCCGGGAGGCCCCCAGCTCAGCATTGGGGACAGCGCCTTAGGAGAGCCGCACTGCAGCCTCAGCGCCCCACCTCCATCCAGAGCAAGGAGCTGACAAGGGGCCTCTGAGCCCACCCTGCCCCTGTACCAAGCCCCAGGTGGGCATGGACTGGCAGTCCTGAGCAGCCAGAGCTGATGCCCGGCCCCCAGGGGGGCGGAGGAGCCCCCACCATGAGCCTGGGCAAGCTGTCACCCATGGGCTGGGTGTCCAGCTCGCATGGGAAGAGGCGGCTGACTGCAGACATGATCAGCCCCCCGCTCGGGGACTTTCGCCACACCATGCATGTGGGCCGCGGCGGGGATGTCTTCGGGGACACCTCCTTCCTCAGCAACCATGGTGGCAGCTCCGGAGGCACCCACCGCTCGCCCCGCAGCTTCCTGGCCAGGAAACTGCAGCAGGTGCGGAGGGTCGGGGTGCCGTCCCGGAGGATGGCCTCACCCCCCGCCCCCTCGCCGGCGCCACCTGCCGTCTCGCCCATCATCAAGAACGCCATCTCCTTGCCCCAGCTCAACCAGGCTGCCTATGACAGCCTGGTGGTGGGCAAGCTCGGCTTCGACAGCAGCCCCGCCAGCTCCGCAGACGGACGCTCCGCTTACGGTGAGCGCTTGGGGTTGCTGTGATGGCCCAAGGGTTCCTGGGCTCCGCCCGGTCTCCTTTGCCTTGGGTGGTTTGGTCGTGCCCTAAAGGTCAGGCCCAGGCGCCAGGCCATGGAGCAGGACAGGTAAAGAGGTGGGCCACAAAACACACTGAGGCTAAGATGGTGGAGGTGACGTTGGAGTTCAGCCGCCCCTAATCCACTGTGTGTCTTGGACAGCCCTTCCCTCTGGGCCAGGTGGGACCAGTGCACCCGCTTTTACCCTCTGAAACTAAAGCAGCATCCTACAGTCAGCTCGATACAGTGCCAAGGTTAAGAGCCCAGACTCCAACTTCTACCCCCAGTTCTGCCCAATCCCTACCAAGCCCCGACCTCTGCAAGCTCAAGCCCAGGCCCATGAGTCCCGCTGTGTCTTGCTAAGATCCAATGAGATCATCCATGTACCAGGCAAGGCACAGAGTTTGGCACCTAGTAGGTGCTTCAGAGACATGAACTGTCGCTGCTGGTAGAGTAGAAGTCCCCATACCCTAACAAATTAGGAAGACCACTCACGTGGCTGTGCTGCCTGGGCACAACCCGGCTGTCTCACCCGGGGACTGTGGGCTTCTGCTGCCCCCTGGTGGCAGGTCCTGTCATGTGGCTTTGCCCCACCAGGGTCCTCCCCTAGGGGCTGCTAAGAAACCCTGCTGAGGACTGATCGCAGTAACCTGTCCCATCTCAGGCCCAGTTGTTCAGACCTGATGGCTGCAGAGGGCACGTGCCTGTCCGTGGAGTCTGTGGTTTCCAGGCAGTCACACCTGGGCGTCTGGGTCCACCCTGGGTCCACAGCCAGGCTGCCTGCTGGGACTCTTCACCTGCAGGCCAGGGCCAGTGACCTAGCCAGGAACCAAGGGGCTGTGGCCAAGTGCACAGTTGGGACGAGAGTCAGGAGGTTTGGGGCGTGGCTTTCCCCTCCCAAACTGAGCCTCACTTTCTCCCTGTGCAAAATGGGAATGAGGATTGTGACCACGTTGGTTTCAGGGATCACACAGGGACTGTACAGGAAGGACAGGAGAAACTAGGGCCAGAGAGGGCAGTGACTTGCCAGAGGACACACAGCAGCCAGGGTTGATCCTGGTCAGGGACCCCAGCTCTGACCCACACCCCTCTTATCTTCCAGGCCTGGACTCTGGGTTCTGCACCATCTCCCACCTGCCCCGCCTGGAAAAGCCCAGTGAGCGGGACCGGGACGCTTCCTTCCCCTGTGAGCCGGAGCTGCGCCGCTCTGATTCGCTTTTGTCCTTCCGCCTTGACCTTGACCTCGGGCCCTCACTCCTCAGCGAGCTACTGGGGGTCATGAGCCTCTCAGAAGGCCCTGCAGCTGAGACCCCAGACTCTGCTGCGAATTCCCTGACAGCTGCCACAAACCCCCCAACCCCTATAACAAATCCCCCAGCCCCTGCAGCAAATCCCCCAGCCCCTGCAGCAAACCCCCGAGCCCCTGCAGCAAGCCCCCGGGCCCCTACTAGGCCTCCACCCCATGGACATTTCCCCAATGGGGTATCGGCTGGGTTGGGCCCAGGAGCTGAGGTGAGGGCAGGCCTGGTGGGAGAGGGTCCCCGAGCACCGGCAGACACGGCCTTCAGTAGGCACTGGGGAGCCAGTTGGAGTGGAGCCCAGCATACCCACCACTCCTCAGAGGTGGAGACCCAGTGGAAGCCCAAGGAGGTGCTGCCTGAGGCCCAGGGCTCCTGGGAGAGCCTGAAGGAAGAGTGGAGGGCGCCCCGGGCAGGTGACAGGACCCCAGTGCCCAGCACGGTCCAGGCCAACACCTTCGAGTTTGCCGATGCTGAGGACGATGAGGTGAAGGTGTAAGGGAGTCGGGCTTGGGCACAGGACCTGCCAGATGAGATGGGGACAGCCACGTGTCCCCAACCCCCTGCTCACCTCTGCAGGGTAGACATGGGAGGGGAGATGGGGCAGGGGCCTTGTCCTGGTCCCGGGAGCCTTGCTGAGCAGACCCGCTGACTCGGCCCCATCCATGCCACCCCTACCGGCTGGAGGGCCAGCCTCACAGTCTGGCCTTTGTGCCCGAGGAAGCTGCCCTTGGGGGTGGGGGTGGGGGTGGGGACCTGACCACACAGGGCCATTGTCTTCTCTCCCAGCCGGATGCCTGCCCCCAGCTCCTCTGGGGCTCCCCCAGAAGGTTCCCCGCCATGTCCCTGAGCCGCACCCGACTGCCTCCCCAGCACTTCCACAGGTCCCCGAAGTCTCACAGAAAGGTCAGGTGTGACCTTGTGGGAGGAACTGCGCCCTCCTGTTTCCCCAGACCTGCCTCTGGGCTTCATTAAAGAAGGCTTTTTTGGTAAAAGTTGTCCTGCTAGAAGCTTGGGGATCCAGGAGAGCAGCTTAGCCCCCTACTGAGATGCCCTCCCCTCCTGCAGTTTGGAAAGCAGTCAGCCCCAGCGGGGAGGCTGGGCAGGTACTGAGTAACCCAGCTGGAATGCCTGCCCGAGATAAGGGCCAGGTGGGAGCCTTATCTGCAGTTTCCGGAACAGCCCTTGCCCTGGGTGCCTGGAACCAGCGCCCGCCCCACAATCCCCCAGGGCAGCTTGGCATTTGCTCTGTCGATAAGGGGTTGGTAGGCAGAAGTGCATACTTAGGGTCATTCGGGAGCACATCACGGCCTCCCCACCTGGCAGGGCAATGTCTTTGTGCCTCAGTTTCCTCTTTGTATCGTGAAAATACCAGGAGCATTAAAATGCATGGGAAGTGATAACCACCACAGCTCCACCACCAGAGACCCTGTATAAAAAGTGCAAGGTTTTATTTGCTGTTGACTTTGGGGAAGGGAAATGGGGCCAGAGGGGCAGGAAGTGCAGGTGAGGGGGCTGAGAGTTGGGTCCCAGGGCGCCGATCCTGGGGGATTCAGCAGGAAGGCTCGGAACCGGGGTGCAGGCTGGGGACTTGTATTCAAGGTGCTGCCCGCTCAGTCCATCTTGAAGGAGGAGATGTGGAGGCCTCGCACATTCAGGTAGCTCAGGTGGCTGTGGCCCAGCCTGTTGGGGAAGGTCAGCTGGTATCCATCCGGCAGCGTCACCTTGAACTCGTCACTCTGAAAGGTCACCGTGAGCTGCAGTGGAGACAGAGGTGTCGGTGAGGTAGGAGAGGCCTGGTGCAGGCATCAGTCCCCCAAGGGGTCACCCTGTGACCTCCCCACATGCTTCTCCCTCTTGACCTCACCTTGACCTCTGACCCCTGGCTGAAGCACATGTGATCATCTCGTTGCTCTCGTCCCCAACTGCCACCTCCCTTCGAGTTGCAGACAATGATGGATTCATTGAAGCGTGGGTTAAAGTGCAGGCCCAGCTCATCTGCCCCCTGGCCCAGGTTAATGGCAAAGCTGCCGAGAAAGGGTCAGCAGGGGAGGTTTAGGGGGCAGCTCTGGGAAAACAGCTGGGTCAGAGGGCTTTGGTTGACCACAAGCTGGAAGAATCACCAAAGAGATGCGTGAGTTGAGATCTGTGCCCTAACACAAGGAAGGCGACAACCACTCGGACCTGACACTATACTAGCGCGTTGCATTTGGAGCAGTGGCCATGGCTTTGACAGTTACCAGTGGTGGCAGTTCCAGAAATTAGAGCTGTCTGCCTTGGGGGACAGGATCGCCCTCCTTAGGTATAAGAAGACTTAAGGTGGTGAGCTCCCTGTCACTAGAGGTATGCAACTGTGTGACTTCTCAGCAGGATCACTACCTCTGGGGCACGCTGAAGAATGGCACATTGGCCCTGAGAAAGGCACATTGTAGATTATGAGGTTCCTTCACTGAAGGGGAAGGGACCTTGGACCTGGGCTATCCTTCCATGTCTGCCAATTCTTGAGACCTAGGCAGGAGAAAGGAGTTGTTTTCCTCTTATCTCCTACACCGTGCATCTGCGTGCTCCCCGAGCCAAGGTGAGCAGAGATTGGGCCCAAGAACGGCTGAAAACGTCTGTACTTGTGAGACCCAGTGCTGAGCTGTGACTCCAGGAAGTGGAGTTTCCAGCCCAGAGGGGCAAATGTAGGGGGGCTGCCTGTGGTTGAACTTGCTGGGTTAAGAGGGGGTGTCCCTTGGGGATTTGGGCGTGCAGCAGGGGATCTGCACATGAGCAAGACTGTCAGGGAGGCCCCTGGTCTGGAAGTCACTGTGGCCTGACTCACAGGAGTGGCCTGCCCTGCCCATCCCCCATCCGCCTCACCTGTCAATATTGGTCTCGATCTTGCCCTTGAGCTTCAGGGTTTGCCCCACCTTCATCTCCAGGTTCGTCATCTCAAATTTCGCCTGAGCCAACAGAGAAACCGCAGGCTGGAGAACCCACGCAGGAAGCCCAGCACACACGTGCCTGGCACCCTTCTGCTGGTGAAAGCGGACACGTTCCCCTGGCCCTGGTTGGGGCACCACGCTGCACGGGGAGGCGTGGAGCCCCGAAAGCGCCTGCCTTCCCCGAGTCCCGCTGCCCTTGGTGCTCTGCTGCCCTCTGGCCTAGCCTGCCTAGGGAGCAGCTGGGTCTGGAGGGACAGGGTCCAGCAGGGATCCTCAGTTTGTTCATCAGTGGAAGGGGCAGAGTGGTCCCTGCAGCCTCAGCTCCCCAAAATGTTCAAACCATGCGGATTCGCAGCCTGTAGAACCTGACACCCCCACGTAATGCAGAAAATGAGCGTCTCAGAGGCAAGCAGGACTCCGTCCATTCCAAATTAGGCATCCGCCCACCTTCTGACCCTCCAGGTCCCCAGAGCTCACTTTCCACATCTGTAAATTAGGCTGCTTTGGTATATTCATTAAACACCAGTTACTAGGCTGGGGGTGCTGCCCGGTAGTAGAGCGTTTGCCTGGGTTCCATCCTCAGCACCACAAAAACAAACGCTGCTGAGCACCACGGTGTGACAGACCTGGCTGCAGAGGCCCGAGCTATAGCGCCCACCTTGTAGAGTTAGTGCATTCCTGAGGCCCCAGTCTCCACCCAGCCCCAGGTCAATGCAAACGAAGGACCTGCATGGTTATGACTGCTACCTGCCCCTGCTTTCCACAGGGCCTGGGCAGTGCCTGGATTTCCAGGGAGGTCTCAGAGCTGGGCTTCCAAAGCTAATTCTTTGCCCAAGGCTGAGAAATCTTTCACCTCTGTGGCTGGAAGGGGAGGGGCTAAACAGGACCAAGTGGCACCAAAGACAGAACCCAAGAGACGCTTTTGCATTGGAGGGTTTCTGCTCATTTGCCCACTTGGGGGTTGGGTTTAGTTTTGGAGAGAGCATGGTCTGAGAAGCCCGAACCAGCTCCCGCTCAGACTGTGACACTTTGCTACCCACAGTCAGGGGCACGGCCATGGGCAGTGAGCAGCCCTCTGCTCCCCAAGGTTGGGCAAGGCCAGATGGATACCACACCCTGCCCAGGGCTCCGGGAACAGTCCTTTCTGAAAGGAGGTCCTAACCAGATGTGGTGCACCCCTGTAATCCCAGGACTTGGGAAGCTGAGGCAGGAGAATCACCATAAACTCAAGGTCAGCCTGGGCTACAGGTCACCCTGGTCTACAGAGTGAGTTGGAGGCCAGTCTGAACTACATAGTGAGACCCTGTCTCAAAAAAAAGTGCCGGGCATGGTGGTGCACACCTGTAATCCCTGTAAACTGAGGCAGGAGGATCGTTGTGAGTTCAAGGCCAGCCTACACTACATAGTGAGCTCAAGGCCAGCCTGAACTGCATACCGAGACCCCGTCTCAAAAAGACAATAAATAAATAAATACAAATAAAAGGAGGTCCTGAAAAAGAGTGATTGGCCAGGAGCACGGAGCTGTGACCCTGCCATGTCAGACGCAATGACGCCTGGAGCAGGGGTCCCCAGCCCGGCCTTGTGGCATCTGAACCTGGATAATTTTCTCTTTCGGGCTGCCTTGTGTGCTGGAGGCTGGTGAGCCGTGGCCCTGGGCTCTGCCCATGAGATGCCAAATAGCACCCTCTTCCCAACCAAAAATGGATGTGGCCAAGCGTCCCCAAGGGGCAAAATGGTCTTTGGGGACAATGGGATCTGGAGGCCGAAGCCTGACCCTCAGATCTGTGCTTGATGTAGCAGTTGCCCCTGGTTTTGGAACCACAGACTGGACTGAAATTTTCCTTCAGCTGCGGACTAGCAGACAGGGCGCGGCTCTTGGGAGAGGAGGTCGCCCCTGGCAGGACAGCTGCTGTCGCTCCCAGCAGGATGAGGAACGCAAGCCAGCCCTCCTGGTGGCGGTGCTTACAGACGTGCACCGCTGCGCAGTGTATGCGCACGCATCTGACATCCGCCCTCATGCGCAGGCGCTGACGACCTGAGACGTCAAAGTTTCCTGGCAGGAGGGCTGGGGATTTAGCTCAGCGGCAAAGCGCCTGCCTGGCAAGCGCAAGGTCGTGAGTTCGATTCCTGGTACCGGAAGAAAAACAAAGCAAACAAACAAAAGTTTCCCGGCAGGAAAGTCAGCGTCAGCAGTGCATTTAGGCAGAGGGATGCTGAGACCTGCGGGTGTGTGTAGGTCTGAGACTGCTGTCACCACTCGACAACACCAAAGGTCCAGGGAGACAGAGGCAGAGCGTGGGTGGGGCAGTTCAGACTGGTAGGCTGGGAGTTGGGGGCTGGGGATCAAACCCCAGCCCTCCCTCTCGCTGGCTAAGTGACCTGGAGCCAACCCCGTTCTTTCTGGGCCTGGTCCCCACCTGGGATCAAAAGTGTGTGGATCAAGTGGTCTGAGAAGGGGGTTGGTTCTGGGTCCCCTTGAAAGGGAGAAGCCCCTCTATTTACTTATTTATTTATTGTTTTTGAGACAGGGTCTCGCTATGTAGTATAGGCTGGCCCTGAGCTTGCTTGGGTAGCCCAGACTAGCCTCGAAGTCAGGGAGATCCTTCTGCCTCAGCCTCCCAAGTGGGGGGATTACGGGCATATGCCACCACACCCAGCCCCAGAAGCCCCTTTATGAGGAACTTCCAGTCACTTTCCTGTCCTGTGTGCACCTGTGCCGATTTGGATAATGTCCCCCCAAAAATCTTTCCCACCTGAAACCTGCCAATGCAACCTGTTTACAAGTGGCAGATGTAGTCAAGATGGGGTGGGACTAACTCAGCATGGGCCCTAAATCCACCATGACTGGTGTCCTCATAAGAGGAGGGTGACCCACATCTGTAATCTGGCACTCAGGAAGCTGAGGCAGGAGGATTGCCAGGAGTTCAAGGCCAGGCTGGGCTACGTAGCGAGATCCTGTCTCAAAAACCAAAAATAAATAAAGAGAGGGAAATTTAGACAGAGAGGAGAGGCCACACAAAGAGGGCAAAGCCTGGAGTGACGCAGCTGTAAACCAGGGGACACTGGGGATTGCCAGTGACTGGAAAAGACCAGAAAGATCCTCTCCCGGAATCTGCAGGGGCCGCAGCCCCGCCCACACCTGGTTTCAGATTCCTCCAGGGCCGGGCGGGAGGACCAGCTAGTTTTAAGCCTCCTGTTTGGTAAGGATGTGTGCCAGCAGCCCCAGGGGATGAAGCACCGTCTTATCAGAGGATGCTTCCGATTCCATTCCATAGGTCAGAGGACACAAAGGCTCCGAGAGGGACAGCAACTTCTCCTTGGTCACACAGCAAGCCATGGCGGCCCAAGAGTGAAATCAAAGAGGGACCTCCAAGAGGACCCCCTCAACCCCCTGCAGTCTGCAGACTGTGACCTTGGGCACCTCCATCTCTGGGCCTCGGTTTCTTTCCTTCTCCTTCTTTATTTTGTGCTAGGGCCAGAACCCAGGGCCTCGTGCACACCAAGCGCACGCCCAGCTCCAGCTCCTGAGCCTCCCTTTTTTCCTCCCTGCGAGGCACAATTGTTGCCATCGTGGTTACCGGTGATGCTGCTGCTACTATGGATGAGAAAACTGAGGCCGGAGAAGGAGAAGAGTCAGGCCCAGGCTTCTGCAGCAGGGTGGTGGCACAGGAAGCCGAGCGCCCCACGCTGAGGGACCGTGGTGGCGTGGGCTCCTCACTGCACAGAGTGCGAAACTGAGGCCCAGAGAGGAGCAGCACCCCACCCTAGCCCAGCCAGGCAGAGGCAGAGGCAGATGCAGGAGGAGGCGGCCAGGCGGCTCCCTTACCGACATGGTGTGGTCTCCGTATCACAGGCGCTCAGGGTCCCGACTCCCGGTCAGCTAATACCGGAATATTACTCATTAACTCCGCAGGCCAGATATAAGGACTCTGGCCCCGGGGACACGGTGTCTCCCGCCTGCCTGTCCAGGGACCAACCAAACAGGCAGAAGAATCCTCACCCGCGCCCCGCCCGGCTCGGCGCATCCTCCCCTACCCGCCAGCGCTCCAGAGCTCCACCCCCGCCCTCGGGCCACCACCAGACCCCCCGCAAAGAGGCTCCTCCGTAAAAATGCCCCAGCTCCTCTCCTCCCTGATGTCTGAGTCATTTTGAAGACTCTTTCCTTTCTCCCTTCCTGTCATTGTTTTTCTGGTTGTACCTGTACATTTTAAAAATAATACAAGAGCTGGGAGTGGTGGCGCAGGCCTATAATCCCAGCACTGGGAAAGCTGAGGCAGGAGGATCCCTGAGTTAGAAGTCAACCTGGACTACACAGTGAGTTCAGGGCCACCCTGAATTGCATATAGAAACCCTACCTTAAAAAAAAAAGTAATATATGGTAGATTTTTTTTCTTCTTCCAATCAGAATTTATTGGTACATTTTAGATATACATTATGATCACATTCATCATAGGAACTTGTACCTGTGCATGATATATTTTGATTTTTTTTCTCATTCCCCTCCCCTCCCTTCAATCCCTCCTCCCTTCTCCATTTACAAAAGCTGTGTTTCCATTTTTTCCTTCTTTTATCATATTTTTAAAATTTTCCCCGCTTTTCTTTCCCCTTCGCCCCTGGTTCCCCTCCCCATTTGAACATTTTCTTTCTTTTTTGTAATACTTAATATACATTTTGGTCCTTATTCACATTTTCGATTTCTCACACCAGAGAAACAGTGAAGTATTTATATGGCATCCAACTTATTTCACTTAAGAGTATGGGGGGCCAGGGATATAGCTCAGTGGTATAAGTGCCTGCCTGGCAACCACGAGGTCCTGAGTTCGATTCCCGGTACCAAAAAAAAAAGTATGGGGTAGATTTTAAGAAAATATTTATTTTTGTTGTTTGTTTTTCTTCCGGTACCAGGAATCAAACTCATGACCTTGTGGTTGCCAGGCAGGCGCTGTGCCACTGAGCTAAATCCCCAGCCCAAGAAAACATTTGGAAGTATCCAAAACCACTAAAAAGTGCAGAAGAACCAAGGCGTGGTGGTGCATGCCTGTAATTCCAGCACTTGGGAGGCTGAGACAGGAGAATCCTCATGAGTTCGAGGCTAGTCTGAATTATATAGCGAGACCCTGTCTGAAGAACAAAACAAAAGAATATATACCAAAAAGGAAGATGAAACCAGGTCTGGTGGTGCCTGCCTGTCACTTCAGTACTGGAGAGACTGAGGCAGGAGGATCACTGTGAGTTCAAGGCCAGCCTGAACTATACAGCAAGACTGAAGAGAATGTGAGAGAGCTGGGAGGGCAGCTCTGGGGGGCTTAAATGCTTTATCCTTTCCTTCTTTGTTTTTTTGAGACAATGTCTCACTCTGTATTTCATGCTGGCCTCAAAATCACTATGTAGCCCAGGCTGGCCTTGAACTCCTGGTAATCCTCCTGCCTCAGCCTCCCAAATGCTAGGGTTACAGTATGTGCTGCCATACCTGGCTACCCTTGAGTTCTAATGCTTGTATAATCAACATGCTTGCGGTAGACAGAGACAGGAAAGCAATCCTTGATATTCCCACCCCCAGAGGGGCACGAACCTGCTCCCTGTATTGGCAGACCTCCTGCCCAGCCGTTTTCTATGAATTTCTACAATAGAGCTCTCTCCGTCCGCCTGTTTATCCGGCTTCATTGAAGAAACATTAAAGCCCACAAACCCATATTTCAGAGCTACATTTCAAGGGCAGTGGAAAAGTCTACCTCCCAGCAGCTGAATCCACTGAGCCAATTTCCTAATGCTGAATGCTTACATTAACTCTAAATTTTCACTATTAAACATACTGTGCACTAAATCTCTTTGCCCATGAAGTCTGGCCGAATCCTGGCAACTTATGTAGGGCAGATTCCTGGCAGGAGAACTTCTGGAGCGTGTGCTGGGTTTGGCTGGCCACTGAGCTTCCCATCAGGGTTAGGGTGGCAGGAGCTCCGGGCGGGGTGCAGGGCAGCCGGCCCTGCTCCCAGGTACTGGGAGCTAGGGGGTGGCTTGCTGCCCAGTGCTCACATGGGGTACCACCTTTATAACCTGGCAGCCCTAAGAAAAGAGCGGTCTCCACAAGGAAATGAATCTTTTCTTGACCTTTCTCCCAGAGCAGGGCAAAGATAAGGATTTCAAAAGGGCTTTCGCAACAGAAACTCCACTTGACTGAAACCGCAGCTTTCAAGGTGGTATTTTTAAAATTATATTTGTAGTACCAGATCAATATAAAAGGTTTTAGATGTAATCCCAGCACTTGGGAGGCTGAGTCAGGAGGATCGCTGTGAGATCAAGACCAGCCTGGGCTCTGTAGTGGATTCAAGACCAGCCTGCACTACACAGAGAGACTCTGTCTCAGAAAAAAAAAAAAGGTTTTGGAAAATGGACCAAGTAAAAAGGATTTAGTTCATTTGTTTGAAAAGAATGTTTTGTTGTTGTTACTGGTGTTGTTATTGTTGAGACCAGTTCTCACTAAATTGCCCATGTTGATCTCAAACTCGCAGCGATCCTCCTGTTTCAGCCTCCCAAGTGCTGGGGTGACAGGTGTGCACCACCATGCCTGACTGAAAAGCACGAAAACGCAAACACGAGCATGTTTATGGTTTGTGTGCTTTTCTGCATGTACGTGTCACATCAGTGAAAGACTTTTAAAGACAAAAACTAGAGAAGAAAAGAACATCAAACTCCCTGCTACTTGCCCCTCTGACCTTATCCTCCTGAAGGCTGCTGTCCCTTCCTCCCACCCTGGTCATCATAAGCTGCAAATTCTCACGGCAATCATCATTCACATCCCATTTTCCAGGTAGGAACTAAGGGTCCCGGGACTTAGACTTGATCCCTACTGAAAAAAACTGTCTTCTTCAATCTGAAAATCTCTCTTGTCCTGATTTGATAAGAAATGAAACCATTTTGGCGTCCTGGGCCCAAAGCATCCTAGCGCCGAGCCCACGGGAGAAGCTGGAAACTCTCATCCACCGGCTGCCTGCGGTTGGGGGACTTTGGTCCTGCAGTGCCCGGGATCCCTGCCAGTCTCTCCACCCAAAGGGCAAACAGACCCAGCCCTCCCAGCGGCCCCTTCCAAGGCCGCGGAGGAAGCAGCCGGTGGGGCAGGGGCAGCGTGGCGCTCGGGCAGCGTCAGGTGAGTAAATGTCAGGTCCTGGCCCTGTCACCTACAGGTGGAGCGGCCCTGGCCCGTGCTCAGACCCCCAGTTTCTTCACCTGTGAAGAAACAGGTAGCTAAAAAATCTTCTTTCTACGCCAGTTATGGGGATTTAAAACAGTTTTTTAAAAATTTAAGAAGTTAAGGGCTGGGGAATGTAGCTCAGTGGCACAAGTGCCTGCCTGGCGAGTGCAAGGTCCTGAGTTCGTTTCCCGGTACCAAGATAAATAAATACATACATACATAAAATTTAGCAAGTTAACCTATCTACATAGCATGTGGCACACATAACAGATCTCTCCCAAAAATGTAAATTTCGAAGGTGGTGGCTCACACCTGTAATCTCACCACTCAGGAGGCTGAGGCAGGAGGATCGACATAAATCTGAGGCCAGCCTAGACTACATAGCAAGTTCAAGGCCACTGTGAACTACATAGCGAGACCTCCCAGGGAGACCGCCTGAGTTGGTCCACGATCTAGGCGTCCAGCTGAGCAGCGGGGGAGACATTGCCATTGGGTGTGGATGGCTATGAGGCAGGCAAGTATCCTGCACCCCAACTCTGGCTGGCGAGCACATTCTGGTGCCCCCTGGAAGCCCTTCCACAGCTGTGTGACCTGGGGTGAGTCGCTTCATGTTCCTGGGCTTCAAGTTGTCCTTCTGTGGAGGGGGAACCACAAGTGTGACACCTCCTGGGGCAGACAGTGGCCCTAAAGTCCTGAGGACAGGGCCAGCCATGTCCATGGTTCCCAGGGCTGCTGGACGCTGGGGCTGCCCAGGAGGAGGTGCAGTCTGCACCCTGCTCCTCTGGCTCTGCCCACCAGGGGACTTCAGTGTGGTTTGAATGTGTACCCTAAAATCTCACCCCAAAAGCCCATGTGAATGGTTTGGGGGGGAGAGCCTTCGGGAGCAGTTAAAGATTAGATGAGGCAGCTGGGCATGGTGATGCATGCCTGTAATCCCAGCACTCAGGAGGCTGAGGCAGGAGGATCGTTGTAATTTTGAGGCCAGCCTGGTCTACAAAGTGAGCTCAAGCTCAGCCTGAACTGCATAGTGAGACCCTGTCTCTAAAAGACAAAAAAGAAAAAAAGATTAGATGAGGTCGGGAGGGTGCAGCCCAAGAGAGACCTGGGCCAGGCCCTTGCTCGGCCTGGCTGTGTACCGTCCCCTGCCAAGTCACAGCATGGCACGGAGCCTCGCGTTAGGTGCCAGCACCTCATCCCAGCCCCCAGAGCCAAGAGCCCAGTCCTCTACCCTGGCTCTGCTGTTGGTTGCAGCCGCAGAAACCGGTTAAGGCAGAGTAGTGCCTCAGCGGCCCAGAGATCCGCCTTACTTTACCCAGTTGCCAGTTCGGTGACCCCGTGACCCCCTTGCTTCTGGCTGCACCTGGTCACCTCCCCAGCCAGTGTCCCTGGGGCTCTGGGAGACTTTGGGTCACTTCACGTCACCTAGAATCAAGGTTGGCCTTGAGGAGGGAAGGAAGGAATTTGGAGTCAAGAGAAGGGGCTGGGCCTTAGCCACTCACCTCTGTCCTCTTCTCCAGGCCTGTCCTCCAGTCCTCTCATCACTCATTAGAGTTTTTTGAAATGCAAATGGCAAGGGAGGCTGAGTCAGGAGGGTCACTGCAAGTTCAAAGTGAGTCTGGGCTACATAGTGAGTTTATTTATTTATTTATTTATTTATTTATTTATTTACTTATTTATGTAGTCTTTTTGAGACAGGGTCTCGCTATGCAGCTCAGGCTGGCTTTGAGCTCACTTTGTAGCCCAGGCTGGTTTCAAACTCACAGCGATCTTCCTGCCTCAGCCTCCCG